GGTTCATTTGTATGAACACAACAAGGAACTTACAAAAATAGTAAATTGCAAATCAATACTCTTGAATATTCATATTACACTACACTATATTACATGTTTCTATACATTTTGGTTCATCAGGAATCATGCTGCATTTTCATCACAACATTTTAGGACTTTTCAAATACTTTTAAAGTAAACAAATTTGATTTTCAAGGGTTCTTTTTCAATGACCTAATTTCAATGAGAAGCGTAAAAACAACATATACCAGGGATTTTCAAGGATTTCAAGGAGTAGCACAATCCCTGTTACATGTTAATACAAGGAATACTCACCATTAAACGCATCCATTCCTGATGCTGCACAAATACTATTAATAGCATTAGCAGTAGCTAACGTTGTAGGCACTCCACCTTGTACAACCCTTGCTGGACTTGATATTGCAGATGAGCTCTGCACACTTCCTGTCCCAGATGCAGTTGTAACTGTAGTAACATTTCCTGGTAAAGTAACCAGTGAGCCTGCTGGCAGTTGTCCTGTGGTATTATTTGAAGCCAGCCCAATAGTTTTTATAATGTTACTGTTATTACTAGTTAATACGATCAGTTTAGTTGGTGTATTAGTATTAAGTTTACCAGTACTGGAACCAGGTACTGCGCTAACAATTGATGACGCTAGAGAAAGAGTTGGCTTAGTTGTAGCTGTCGACAATGACACTGAAGCTGTTCCAGATTTAACAATAGAAGTCTTTGGTTTCAAATTATTCAAATGAGCAAGATCATTGATCAGTTTCAAAGTGTCAATTTGGTTTTGTTTACTATCACCATGGTGATTGCTATCATTGGTTTCTTGTTTAAGCGTGATTGCGTTGGTATTGCTCAAAACTCCTGATGACGCCATGGCAGCAATTTGGGAACTCAATGATGATGATGTTATAGCTTTAGCTGCATTCAGTGGTCCATTCATTTGTGCTTGAAGCTTTGAAGGAGATGCATACAATATTGTCACAGGTTTTGTAATAGTTTTCCCACCACTTGATGTAGTAATAGTGGTTGTGACAACTCTACTGATGCAAGCATTGGCAACACTATTTGACGCTTCTGTTTTTATTCCATTAAAGACTTCTTTGGGAAGATTATTAAGACTTGTTACAAGTGAATTTGTAGCTGCAGATGTGACTGGTATGGTGGATGGTTCAGTTTTAACTGGTGTTGGAGTTTCACTTGAATTTGCTGTCGATACTGGAGTAGGCAGTTTAATAGAGGTTGCCTGAGTCAAATGCTTAGCAATTCCACATTGTAAATTCACCACACACTTCAACCACTAGAAAACATAACAACAGAGAGATCTTTATTTTAGTGATGCACCCCAGTTCATAAAAGCAAAAATCATGTTTTCCATTTTAAAGTACATTCAATACAATTCAGATAAATCATTCTTAGATATACATTAATTGAATATATCTGTTACCTCTTCTTGTTCTTCTTGAGTTGGTGTTACAAGTGGTAAGGAATACAGTGGCAATGGTTCCTGCATCTTTCTTACATGCTCAGGTAATAGAGTCACAGGTGGTGTCATGTAATGGTCTTTTATAGCTTGTGGAACCTAACACAATACAAATCAAGTTAACAACAAAGAAGTTAACAGTTATGTAAAAAGATAAATTTAACACCGTAAAAAAGTATGTGAAATAACTTACTGACGTTTCGGACGTTAATCCTCCTCCTTTTTTACGGTGTTAAATTTATCTTTTTACATAACTGTTTCTTTAGAAACACCGACGCAGCTCACACTAGTTTACTGCTAGTTCCCACCAAAGAAGTTAACAGTTGAAAAAAGCCATTGCTACTGAGAAAGCTTTTCTAAAGAAGCTAAAAACATACCAAAGATGCTCTTCTTCCTGAAGGTAAACGTTGCTTGGTTTTAAGTCCAGGATGTTCCCGAATTCTATGAAAAAGTGAACATCAGAAGTGCTTTATTACAGTGAAGAAAACAATCAAATGACAAACCAACTGAGCTAGAGGTTGAAGTAAAAGAAACCAAAAGATTACACAAAAATGGTTACAAAACGTCACTGTTTTTCCTAAATTTTACAGGAAGAACCATTATCATCAAGCTAGTGATTGAGTTAGTGATTATTCTAAGCACTACTTACCGGTGAGTTCTTTGAAGGAAATTCATTTTGATTGTATGCTGTGAGATGTTATTTTGCAGATCATTATATGCTTGGCATCGTTTGGTAAACCTTGGGTCTCTCAGRCCAGGCTATGTTAACAATAGATAACATTAATTATCATTGTATTTATCACATTAATTACTGCTTTGTATTCCTTTATGTATTCTGGAAAAATATTAGAAACACAAGCACAACAACATGCAACAAGCACTAACAGATTCATTGGCGGAAGCTGACCCACAGTCTACTTGCAGTAACAAGAAATACATCGTATTTACAATAAATGAATTAATTGCATGACAAGTTCAATGAATTTGATATAAAACCAAAAAAGCTGTTTTCAAACAATGATGTTGTGTGACATGTTGGATGTTTGTTTCTTATATCTTGTAGCATCTAAATACATGCATGTATGCAAAATCTTCTAAGTACCACTTTGTGTTCAGCATGGTTGGGGCACATCCACATGCCAGCTGGCTTGGTTGTAAGAGGAGGGTTTGTGCAGTCCATGTGAAACGCCAGAGGACAGAAGTCACAATGTACAAGATCACTGAATAGTGCAGATCTGCAATAATATCAAAAATGTCATTAATAAAAGTCAAAACTATAGTTTCAAGTTTCTGTTTGTTTCTACAGTTGATGTGTTTTCATACCTGCTACAGGCAAAACAGAGTCTGTTTAAACCATGCCCATCTTCATCATTATCTCCATTTCTGCAACAAAACACAAAATGTCTTACTGACTACTGTAAGACTGCGGTTTTTGCATTACAAAAGCAAATTGCACGTGTAAACAGCGAATGTACATGTGATAAAATTAAACCTTAACATGCCAGTACTTACGATGGCAAAGGTCGCTTGCCATTCTTTGATGGTGGTCCCTTGTCTTCACAACTACCACGTCTTTTACGATCACCTAATAACAACAAATCATTAAAATAAATAGATCTCCCTGCATTAATTTTGCACATCCTAAATAATTATAAACATCTGCTTACCAGGAAACACAGTATTACACTTCAACTCTGGGGGGAGGGTAAAGGTTGTAGGGTTTTTCCCTGTGCTCATTTTAACAAGTGTTGAAAATAGATTTTCTGGTTTTGATGCTGATTTAGTTGACTTAGGTTCCACTGTCTCCTTTGGTTTGTCATCTTTATTTTCATTTTCTTCTTTTTTCTCATTTTCTTTTTCTTCTCCTCCTTTCCCACATTCATCTTCATCTATCATTTCTTCCTGGAAAACACAAACAAAGGGGATCTACAGTCAGTGACTAAAAACAATGGATAACATATTAAAGTGAAGTACAGATCAAAAGAAAACAACTTTGTACTGTACTATTTTTGTCAAAAAATAGTCTATAACAAATCCAATGTAGAATTAGGAAACATCAGACATTTAATTGTAAAATTGAGAGGAAAATCTTTTATTTTATATACTTTGTAAAGTAAACTTACATCTTTTCCTTTGAGTCTGCATTCAATGCACAACCATTCACCATCTGGAATGTCATCTTCCTCAAGAGGTGGATCACTGGTAATTAGAGAAGAAAGAGAGAATTAGCTTGGTCAAGTTAATATTTTTTTAAGTTATTTTATAATGATTTGATTAGGACCAGATATTAAGTATTAATATCGAGCAAGCTATGGACTATTACCATTCTGAATGGTAACTGAACTATGGTCTGTTCATATTAGACCATTGTCACAATGAGAAAAGTGGAAGTGGAAAAACATATAGTGAACTGAAGAGGTTTTAATAAATGAAACTAGTTTTCACTATTCTTGGTAGTCCCTGGCCTGTACGTACGAAAATCATTATGTTGAAGTGATTTACATTTGTAAAGTTTATGAAAAACATTTTTGTGTTCAATAATTCCTATGGACTACAATTCAGCTGAGAATTCTTGGACTATTGCATCATATTCCATTTGATCTTGTGGTCTTGTTAAATAGCTGGTCAGTATACACCCTTTTAATAAGTCCCGAGGTATTGTGTTCTCCGCACTTGACATCAAATTTATTCTTTTGAAATTTTTACAATACAAAAGAAATTCAAAAGAATAAGTTTGACGTCAAGAGCGGAGAACACAATACCTCGGGACTTATTAAAAGGGTGTATATTGTGTGCAATAATGCTAGTAGCTACTGTACATACACAAATGGATATTAGTGATTGATTAGGAATAAATAGGATACTAGACAAGACAACATTTACAATGTACATGTACTGTGTCCTGTTGTATGTAGTAATTACTAAATACAAGACTTGATAATAAGGAGAGAAAGAAACAGGCAACAACCTATCAGAGTATTCTACAAGATAGTTCTTTTTCAATTATAGGATCCAATATTTGTGTCAATTATTTGGACAAACAATTTAGATGAATTGCTATATGTATAATAGCCAGGCAGTCAAACTTTAACAGTCAGTTTTATTAATCAAAAGAAATATGGCATCCTAACTGGAATTAATATTTTTGCCATCCATTTTGAAATGGTGGCTTTGATAAGTTGTAAATTTGCTAATTCATAAATGGATAATAATAGATTTGGTTGGAAGTCTTGCTGTAACGATGTACAGTTGGTCATAATTCTGACCTGTGATTGACAATTGACTGTTTTGACATGGAGGAAAATGGAATGTATCCGTGTACAAAAATTAACGTCACTTTTTAGTTTTGAAAATTATTATAGGTAGATTCAATAAAAGTGTGTACATCTCAAAGCCATGCAACATTTTTTAAGATGATATTTTTCAGTGGAACATATTACATGATTACATGCATACTCCCAATGAGCTGTATAAGGTTCCTGACAATACATTTATAAGGACAAAGATAGTCATTTACAAGAATCTTGTTTAGATAAATGTTTTTTGATTTGAAAGTCATCATCATAATTGCTTTATTTCATATATTTTAACAGGATATTTCATGGTTCACCCACAAGCTTCAAAGGAAAAACAGTTAAGAGAAAAGAAAGAAGAAGAAAAAAGAAAATTTTAAGGATGCTATGCAGGGTTAGAGATAATCAATTTAGAGACTATAAACACTTGGATAATGATACTGTAAATTACATGTTTTAAGCGCACAACACTCCCCAGCCTTGTAGCTATATTGTAGTTTTTTAATGTGTGAGGAAAGCCAGGAGACCATGATTAAAGATACAATTAAAGAAAAAAAAACTGACTGAAAAATGATATTCAGAGAAATTATATCACTTGCCTTAGTTTTCCTTCTTCTTCTGACAAAAATTCAAAAGAATAAAGGGTAAATAAGCACCGTAAACGTAGAGGATAAAATTGTACATCATCAATGACAACCAGAACTTATTTTAAAAAGATAATTTTTACTGCTGGAAATATCTGTGTGCAAGCCTTTCAACGGCAATTGTAGAGGTTTCTATCAGACAACAAATCTATAATAAGGATGCATGCGAACAAAAAATAGCACCTGATTTTATGCTACCGAATAAGGATCAATTTCACTTCTTGTGTCGTTCAAATCTACGCAAGACAAGTTGAAGAAGATGGAGAAAATTATTTTTGAGACGTCATTTTGGAGAAAACTAAAAGCGACAGCACATATCTGATCAAAACTATGCAAATAAAACCAGAAAATGGACCGGAAAGAAAAGCAGAGATATCAACAGTACACACTTACCAACAGCTGAGATGGAAGGCGCAAGGACACCGATCACAACAAAGCAGATCACCTCCTTCACCACAACTATCACAATTATCGTGATTTACAGCTCGTCCGACTTTCCTCGCTTCCTTGTCGGATTTCTTGGTCCTTTTAACGGTTACCTCTGACTGAGGAGGCTGGATAAGAGCTTGTATTTTCTACGAGGAGCAAAAATAAACAAAACAATTTAGCGTCGACGATAAACACTTGGGTTGTCAAAATGAAGAGACAACACTGCCACAATCAAGGTTACTCACATCCATTAGGCTGCCCTCAGGATCCAAATGGTCGTAATCCATGGCTAAGCCTTCCTACTTTTTATGTCTTGCGTCTAAACAGTAATTGAAGCCGAAGTACCAAACGAGAGATTTATATTTTTACTGACCCTTTCAACGAACAAATAGATGAAGATTTGCCCGCCTTCGTTGTAGGGTCAAACATGTAGCTAGTTTTCTAGGCTTACCCTTACGAAAACGCCAAGAAATTTGGCAGTCTAGCAGCCAAGTCTCTTGTTATGGCAACTGACTAGTTTTCTTGACTAAAAGTTTAAAAGAAAGTAGAAAAATCTATTTTTTTCAAGCAGGACAAGAGAGTAGAAAACCTTCGAAAACTGAACTGAGAATTGGTAGCCCATCAATGCGCATGTGCAAATCATGTACTGGGCATGCGTACAAAATTGTTTTCTTGAAACACCGCAGGACAAAAAGTTCGCATTTACGAGCCAAGGTCAAAATGGTCAAAAGTATTATATCATTTCATTTCATTCCTAAATTTCATTAATCTCTTTATCATTTTCATGCAGTTTCAGTAAACAGCGAGGTTATTTATAATTATAATATTATTTTCCTGAATGAACGAAATTCAAATTTCAAAAGAATTGTTGTACATTCCAGAACAGTTTTAGAATCATGTATTTTGGCGGAACAAAATTCGAGAAGGAAAATCTTTGAAAGTCGAAAAAATTATTAACAAAAAAAGATGCACTAATAAAATACTACTTCGTTTTATTCCAAATATTTTATTTTATTTTTATAAAGTTAAAAGACTTTACATCACATTTTATTGCTTTTTGCGATGTCAGACCAACAAATGTATGTATTTCCTTGTTTTCTCGGAATTTATTTTTAGTTTTTCTGCCGGGGTGCCACAATTTCATTAACCAAAGGAACCCCAACAGATTGTTTACTAAAATCTCCACAGGAAGCCCAACGATTGGCCACGTTGTCACTGAAGAAGACGTTGTTGCATTCAACTGATCTGGCAAGAAAGTCGAACATGCAGCCATTACACATCAAAACACCGCTCTTAGAAAGTCACCCATTATCAAAGATAGTAGGATGTCCAGTTTATTTGAAGCTGGAAAACATACAACCAGTTTCATCTTTCAAGCTTCGTGGACTTGGCCATTTGTGCCAAAAGGTAATATTATAAAGTAAACGGCACATTATTTGGATTGCTCTTTTTTGAAAAGTGTTTTTTGATTGTGAATCACATAGGCTGTTCAAAATGGTTGCAAGCACATTGTGTGTTCCTCAGGTAAGGATTAGCTAAGGGTTATTTGCATGGAAACAGAGATAGATTGAGGTCAGGTCATTGTTGCAAAGCAAAGTCATCATGCATTGCATATTACGTTGTTATGCAAGTTTATGAGGTGCCATGCACGCATTAATTGTAATTTTTTGTCAATACATTATTATTTTTTTAAATATTACAAATTAGTACCTTTTTGTTACCTTCACCATCCCATTGTTTATGCTAAAAGTCATTTTTATTTCAAAATTTCTATTTTGTTTTTGTATCGAATTCAAGGTGGTAATGCTGGTCTTGCAGCTGCATACTCAGCCAGAAAGCTCAATGTTCCATGCACAATTATAGTCCCATCAACAACCCCTGCTTTTATGGTTAAACGTTTAGAGGAGGAAAAAGCAAAAGTCATCGTACATGGGGATGTATGTGGTTAATGTAGTACATTTCATTTATTCAAATGATACTGTATTTTTCACCTATATGTAGGATTTGCCAATCTATGTGTATAAGTCAATGATTGGATGGTTTAGCCTTATCCCCAGGCCAGTATGACATCATTTAAATGTCTTGCTAAAGTTGAAGAAGAGATGGCTGATTGCAACCAGGCTTGGAATAGGCCGATGCATCAAAGGAACTTTGTCCATATGATTGCCTCTTCTTGATCATTTCAGTCAAAAAATAATTAAACTAACCCCTCAATGTGTCAAAATTGACTTTGCTGTTTGAGAAAAGACCAATTCTTCAGTCTGCATTTTGATGCACCATATTGGAAACAAACTCACTCTACATGTATTTTCATGACTTTTGTATACGCCTTAAATTTCAAAAACGTTAACCAAGAAAAAAGAACTTTACCTCCATTGCAGACATTATTGTGGCATATGCTCATAACTAAAGTTGATGCAACATTACTCCCAGATAACTGAGGCTGAGATGGAAACACTCCATTTTAAATCCAATATGACTACAGGAACTATGAAATTGACTATTGGGAAAGCTGGGAATTTTTGTGACTGCAATCTTTCAACAATATTTATTTCATATTTTATTCAGGTCTGGAATGATGCTGATGCTTTAGCACAAGAATTATGTAAAGATCCTGGTAAGTACCACTACTGTTATATAGTAGTTTTGATTTTATCATGCTATATTTAGTTAGTATTTGTTGGCAAAGAACTAAGAAAACAATAAATTCAATAACTAATTGTTAGTCTCAAAATTAATCTTTCATAGTCAAATGAAAATGAATATAGAAATATTGCATTACCCGAACCCCTACCATTACTCAGCAATCATGTCTATAGGATGTGTTTACTATCCACAGAATATACATATATACCTCCATTTGACCACCCAGACATTTGGTAAGTGTAATACAGGGTACATTCAGTAGCATAACTATCACCTACAGATGCAGCCATTATGAACTGCATAACAAAGATAAGGTTTGACTACTTTTCTACTAATACAGGGAGGGTGTGGCATCTCTTGTCCATGAAGCTGTGGAAGATCTTCAAGGAACTAAGCCCAGTGTTGTTGCAGTCTGTGTTGGTGGTGGAGGCCTGCTATGTGGAATCTTACAGGGTTTACATGACGTTGGTTGGCAAGATGTTCCTGTAGTTGCTATGGAAACAGAAGGTGCCAACTGTCTGAATGCATCACTCAATGAAAACAGAATTGTCAAACTAGATGGCATTACAAGGTAAGAGTCCTGCCTGACTGGTGGGTTCAAATCTGCAATCTATCTTAACTTCTGTCTGTATTTCACACTCATTACTGTGACCTTTTCCTCATTTTTATATGGTTTTAAAAATAAAACAACAGCAAAAGATGCTACTGTCAATTACATTAAAAAATTAATGCAACTCAAATAGCAATATCTATTTTACACCCGGGGGGGGGGGAACTCGACCCCATTTTGGATAGGTACGTGCCGCTAGCGGTCGAAATCTCTGACCCTGTTTAAGACACTAGAAAGTGAAAATCCATACCCTGTTCAAGACAAATCGGAAAAATAAGGAATAGCAATCTGCGCCGCAACCATCAAAAGTGCAATTATACTGACATCCATCAAAGACAATAAACAAATTTTGATAACACGATAATTCTTGGAACAGTGAAACGGTATTTTTATTATTTCTAAGTATTTCTAATGAAAATATTACCCTGTCTAAGACACACAAAAAAATATATCGGTCTTTTATCTAAATTGTCGAGCATGTTTAAGACAATTTCGGGTGAAATGTATACCCTGTTTAAGACAGCAAGGCCAAAGACCATACCCTGGCCAGCGGCACGTCCGGCCGTATAGCAAATATATGGGAGTGCCCCCCCCCCCCCCCCCCGCAGGATTTTACACCCCTGCCTACTCCCAGCCAGTCAGCGCTTGTCACTCAGTTGGTAGGGCATGGGTAGTACATATCAGAAGGTCTTGGGTTCAAATTCCAGCGAGGTCAGAAATAAAGTTTATTATATCAATCATGAAATGATTGTCGGGAAAAGGGGCTTGAACACTGTGTTTTGTTTTCATTTTCAGCATTGCCAAATGTCTTGGGTCAACACAAGTTGCTCGGAGAGCTTTTCAGTGGACAAAAGAACATAACATTATTTCTGATTTATGTACTGATGTTGATGCACTAAATGCTTGTTTGCGGTTTGCAGGTAAATTTGTCGTCTTTTGTTTTACAGTTCTAGTATTGAATGTTCGTACAGAAAATGGAATGGTATATTGAAAGAAAGATATAGTAGGATTTCAAAAAATTCAGATATTTTAATAAGAAAAGATTTATGGGAAATGCAAAGGCCATTCTTGTACTCAGATCATTCTCAGTTCTCAGTTTCCAACGGAAAATCGAAGGCTCTGGATTGAGAACCAGAATCTTGGTCGTACATTTTATTTATACTGATTGTGCATGGGAATTTTTGAACCAATCAAATCAAAGACTCATTCGTCTCCAACCAGAGTCTTCGATTTTCCGTTTGGAAACTGAGAAGGATCTGGGAACGAGAATGTGCAAAGGTACAAGCAAGTACAGTATTGCCGGAAGTACAGAATTGAAGAACCTGACCTCCACACCTCCTAGTGACAAACCGCCAACCTGACCTCCACACCTCCTAGTGACAAGCCGCCAACCTGACCTCCACACCTCCTAGTGACAAGCCGCCAACCTGACCTACACACCTCCTAGTGACAAGCCGCGGTTGTGCTGGAAGACGTCATTGTCAGAAAGGCGTGGTCTGGGGGATGGTGTCAGGAACAGGCTCTTCTTGTTGACAATTTGTTCTGAAAAAAGCTCACAATCACCAGCGCTTTTCCCGACTCTAAAACAAGTACCTAATAGAGCATCAGAGCCTGAGTTCAGCCTGTTAGTTACTCTGGTGTATCGAATAGGACGCCGACCGCCATCTGGAGACTCAACTGAGAAATGGAACCATCCAGGACATGCAGTTTGATCTCGTTACAACCAATTTTGAAATGCTTAATTTTTTCTTGTTTTTGTTTCAGATGACCATCGAATGCTTGTGGAACCAGGATGTGGAGCGACCCTAGCTTCTGTTTATAACAACATGTACGACAAATGGAGTAAAGAAGGGAAGCTAAATTCCGATATTAAATCAATTCTAGTCGTAGTCTGTGGTGGGAATATGGTGTCTTTAGAGCAGTTACAAATATGGAAAAAACAGCTTGGAATGTCATAAACTAATCTGCAGTTCCAATCTAGTAATATTTATTCTTAGTCACTCTAATAATCATTGAAGTCAAAGCCTGAAGCGTTAATCCAGGATTAACTAGATAGTGTTTTTAAGACTGAATAACTTATTGTATAATTTTTAGGTCGTAAAACGCCTGAGACTATTAAGGGCTATTTTAACGAAAACAAAAAAATTTTTGGAATTCCTTGTAATTCAAAGGAATGTATATACGAGAGTACATCACAAAAGGGGTCTTAGCTTTTGCCGAAATATCTAGATTTCCAAAAGCCGCGATTCATTCACTGGGTGCAGAGTTACTTTTGTGTTGTCAATCCTCATCATTGTCCTGCCTGGACTGAAGGTGTCAAATACATAGCAGCCTTTTGGACAGTAATTTCGGCTTTTAATACAAAGGAAAAAAAACTGCGTGCGTTGTGTTCGGGTCTATGGCCGATCTGCATGACGGTCAAGGCGCGGTCTTGTGGAGCAGCGTTGCAGCTGTTCTTGTGCGCCTTGCGTGCGCTGTACAGCCTAGGTATTGGGCAAGAATTGACAGAGTACATCGCAAAAGGGGTCTTAGCTTTGGAGGAAATGTCTAGATGTCCAAAAGCGGCGATTCATTTGCACAGTGCATCAAAGAGGTCCTAATTCTTTGTCTCCCTTTTGTGTTGTCAATCCTCATATACATATTAAAAACTTGAAAGGGAATATTTATGGTCGGGAGTCATCCAGAGTCGAGAAATTTTAGTTTAAAACATAAAAGAACAATAGGGTTGTTCATTAAATAATAAAACCACATGCATAGGATTACTGGGATTTCAGTGCAAGTTTTGAGAATTTTCATCGTAGTTGCACTGTAACAATCATCATATTTAAGACTATTAAAATCGATTTTATATTATTTTCAGTGTGAGTCAAATACAATACAGATATTACGGACACCCCGGTATTACGGACACCTCGATATTACGGACACGTCGATATTACGGACACGTCGATATTGCGGACAGGAAATGCTGAATCCCTGGCGAAAAATACAAAAAAAGTGTCATTGAAAGTGATCGACTTGCGGACTATCGCTTCTGCTGACACTAAATTACGGCTCCAAGGGCGCCCTTGATAGTAAGAGTTGACTGAATCCTGCTTGCAATAGAGGTATATTTGAGTGGCATTAAGGCTTGCTAATTTTGTATAGTGCACTTAATTTTACGAAATCGGAAAAAGCATATTTCGTGGGCGTTAATTTTTGTTTTTGCCATTTAATTGTGTTAAATATATGGGCAATTTTGTGTAAACTTTGTGCTGTTTTCTAATTTCTCATGAAAAACTGGTGAAAATCAATACAAATAAGGTTGTCCCTCAGGCAATCGATTTTTGTTTTATTATATAATATAACGTCTTAGTGTCTGTTCATATGAAAAACGAGGGGAAACTAAGACCCTGAGGAATTCTCTGCAAGGACAGGGCCACAGGGATTCACTTCCATTGTCTTACCTTCAACAAGTGGTCTTCTGCTCACGTGCATCCATCAATGTTAATTCCTGACGATGCATAGGAAGCGCAGCGAAGGCTATTGCAAGGAGAGAACACTTGGCTGAGCTTCTACGTATTCGAAGTAGTATTCATAATGAATGCTTTGTTGATGGTTTAGCAAACATTACGACTCAATGGTTTTAAAAAGTTGGATGATGTCACACTCATGTGCGAACTAATGGACTGCGCACTTAATATTTATTAGGAGAGGGGGCAAAATCTACTTTTATGTGCTTAAAGAGGGGGGACAACGTCTAAAATTAGCTAAAATTAAAATAACTTTAATTGGAAACTGAGAAATAAACGGTGTCAGATTCTGTGCTTTTTGGCCAAATACTTATATCCCCCCCCCCCCTCCTGATAAACATTGCGCAGTCCCTAACAATTTGTAGTCTCTTGTCAGTCCACCCTTTATACGGAGGAGACTACAGCGTGACTGTCAACACGTCTTTAGCGTTTACAGACGCAAATCAACAAATATTTGTCGATCATCTATAAAAACAAATAGCGACGGTCACAGCTGTCATCGATCATGTAAAAAAAAATTACTCGTCACGCTTCGGTACGTTGTTGTACACTATTCCTTCAATATGAACAGGCAGACTTGTCCGTTTTGATCACCCATTGCGTTTTTATTTCATATATTAGTCGGTAACGTAGGTCTGGTAGGTTGGTTGTACCGAGTAATTCTTGTGGAATTTTTCTTTTCTTTAATTATTGTTGGTCGATTATTGATTTAAACTGTTTTGTTCAAATAATTAGAATAATTGAAAGCGAGTTTGGTAAACAAAATTTCGCCAATTTTGATATAAAGGTTGACCGTAGTATAAAGTGGAAGGTTAGCCTAGATATTGACTTCAAGCGAAACTATCATTTCAATAGGAAACATTTTTAACAAACAACTTGAGAAAACCCATGATAACTGTAAGACGTTATTGAATGTCTCACGCCTGTAAATGAAAACTTTTAATAAGAAAAATAAAATAAATGATTGTACAAGCTAGGTGCAATAATCAAAGACTATTAACAGATTAATGATAGGAGGTGTTCTCAACGAAATAAAGAACTCCAAGGGCCACTTAGTCTCAACTCTTGGTTAATTCCAAAATGTGTCGGAGTCTCAAGGAATGCGCGCGCGACTGACCAAGTCTGTATATGTCTCAAAGTTTTCTCAAATTGTCAAGTTATGAATTTACATTACAAATTTAATATGTATCTATCTTTTTTGTTTTTGTTTTATTCGTAAAAAGTTATGCCACTTTTAAATTTATATAGGTAGTTATATGCATAAATCAATATCTCGTGACCTGTTCATTATTCTTGTTCATCCATCAAGCTTCTTCTCTCTGCGAAATCAACGTCGCAGATGCGATGCACTTCAATTTCCTCCAGACTTGGAGAATTCCTCGTAGGTCGGCAGTGACAGCCACGAGATTTAATGGAGATGGCAACAAACCCAAGCATGATCAACAATAGTACACCAATAATGTGCCAAGCGAAGACTATGCTAACGAACTCTCGATTGGTTTTGGTGTTTTTCCATGGACGAGACCCATGTAGAGAATGCGCGATTTGCAAGAACCAATTTCCTTGGAGCAAAAACAGTGACGATCGAATCACCTGCAGCAAGAAACTATTTTTCATCCATGCTTCAAGGAGCATCACTAATGCAGACATGAAAACGATTATATACAAAATAGAATGAAGCAGTTGATCCAACTTTGGACGTCCTTCCAAATGGAAGAAGAAGAGCATTCCTTCAACAAAGAGGGCAATGGAGCCAAACACATGTTCAGAGCAGGTGGGCAACTGGGTAATCTTGTAAAACTGCAGAGTTTCAACAACAGACCAAATCATGAACACAGCATACATGGCAGCATGTGCGTAATTATTCAGATGCTTTTCCACGAACTCGTCACCGTTACCTACAAGTACCCAAGAATTCTCGGGAACGAGCTCTAAAAATATCCCGACTGTGAGGATGAAAATCCTAATGGCTGGCTCGATGGGATGGTCACGAAGCCACTTAACAGGGATTGGAAACCATGTACACGGCTTAAATGGAATAGCAGCACCAGTTAAATGCTTACTGTGAATTCTGTAGACGTTGGCCAACCACCATAGTGATGTAACAATGTAGAAGGATCCCGGGAGGGCATGTCCTCGAAAACTACCCATTATTCGTGAGGAAGTCGAGCCAACTGCAACAATTCGAGATCTGATGTAATGTGAAATTTACCTTGAGATATAATTATGAATGCATGTCAGCTGCGCATAAACCGAAACAAAACAGTTGAAGTTCATTTCATTTTTTTGATAACATTTCTAAAATTAGTCCATTTGTGAATTGCAAGAAAAGTTAGTTTTTTGGGGGGAGTTGTTTCATTAGTAATTACAATGTAAAACAATTTGAAAACATAGGCGCGTCTAATAGTAGGTCTTAATTGTTTATTAGAGGAAAATTGGCTATTCTTGTTTTGTTGTTGTTTTACATCTTATCTAATTATCTTGGACTGAAACTGACTGTAGTTGCAAATGGTTGAGTTTAATGCGTCTCCTATTGTTTCACTATTTTGCGCAATTTTTTCCGCATTTTCTTATAAAGTGTTTCGCCTGTGCATACATAATAAATGCTCTCTGTTGAGTTTGATTATATTTCATGGTCCAAGTACCCGAGTTTGTTTTACGTGAATAGCTGCACGGTTTTACATAGTTAATTATTGTTCAAAAGTTCCGTCTCGCTTTTTCATGCACCAGAAGCGCCAGACATGACTCACGGAATTGACGCGCGCGCGTGACGTTGTGTAGACTAACCTATGTGTATAAACAACACATTATTCAGTGTACTCTTTTCAATAAACTGACCTCACGGGTTAAATCATACTTATTTTGATCTCTCTACGGCAGTTGTGGCTAGGACCCCCACTGAACATTATCATAACTTTCTTTCATTAAACCAAAGGCAATTTAATAATAACACCCGAGCGGTCCAGGATTCCGGATTCCAATCTCCTGGATTGCATGGAAAATTTTGCAAGGGTTGTGGATGCCACCTTAATCAGGTGGGGGGTGGGGGGAGGGGGTGGGGGTTCTTTCTTTCATCATGCGGACCTAAAAATGCAGGCCCGTAGGCTGAAAAGGTGCTGTGTTTCTCTTTTTTGATCGTTCTATTATAAAATTCTTTTGCTAAGAACTGTTTTTGAGATATACACTATACAAGTGCATTGAATTTAGGTCCGCAATATGAAAAAAACGAACCCCTCCCCATTTGTAAGGCAGCCTACGGGCCTTCGTCGGACTGGATAATTTATCACATATTTGGATTCCGGATTCCTCTTGTTCGGTCGGATTCCGGATTCAAAATTCCAGTATCGGTGCCTCGATACAAAAAAGGTTGAGTTGCGCAGTTGCGACAGTGCAGTTGGATCGAATCGAAAGTGAATATCTTATTAAAGTACGACACTCAAATGATTAGCATTTGGGGGGAAGGGTTCAAAGAACTCACAAGGAATTGTATTTCTCGATAAAACCCAACAGAAGAATTGTCCACATTATTTAAATCTTTTTTCAATATTCTGGAGGAAGTTGGCAATTGGAATCACCAACCTTTTGGGTTACCTGTGCTGTTTAATGAGAGATGCATGCAAGTATGACTTCCTCTTCGGAACATACAGACTTGTTCTTCAAAATTGTGATTGTTGGCGACTACAAAACTGGGAAAACATCTTTGCTTTGTAGATACATGAATCAAGAATTCAAAGCTTCTAAAGGTTCAACAGTAACTGTGGATTTTAGCGTAAAAACTTTGCAGCGAGGTGAAACCAAAATTAAGCTTCAAATTTGGGATACGGCCGGTCAGGAGAGGTTTCGTACTGCAGTAGCAAGTTACTATCGCGGCGCTAAAGGAGTACTGTTAGTTTATGACATTACAAACAGACAGTCGTTTCATAATATTGGATTTTGGTAAGAGATTGAAACAACTACATGTCCTCTAAGACATGTACATGTCATATTTAAAAATATGACATGTAAAATCCATGCAAAAAGACACATATATGCTAATTCCTTAATGAATTAACTTAAATAAGCTTATCCGCTGAAACAAGATCCAGTAAAAAAACCGCGAAATAAATAAACACTGATACACCTTAGAGTGATCGCACTTAAACCGTGCAACTGTACAAAATCTAAGTAGTACTAATTTGTACTAAAAGTGGACCTGAAGCAAGACGGTATTGAATGCTTCAAATGCTTCATTTGTATCAATTCAATTTGACTTGCGTACCGCATGTACAATATACTAAATACAACCAAATAGCACTATTTAGTTAGTAGAGTGATCGCACTTAACGTGCAACTGTACAAACTGAATAGTTCTATTTAGTTGTATTTTAGTAAATCGTGCATGCGATACGGAAATAAAATTGAATCGATACAAATGAAGCATTCAATACCGTCTTGCTTCAGGTCCACTTTTAGTACAAATTAAAACTACTTAGATTTTGTGCAGTTGCACGGATTAAGTGCGTTCACTCTGCGCTCTAATTGCATTGTTTTCTTTTGGTCTATTTGACTATCGCAATCAAGAGTTAGTCAAGAGTGTCACTGATAAAAGACCCTCCCCTCCCTAGCAATACATCAGGTCCACTTACAAAAGTGAAAGATGACAACTACTTCCCCAGTTATCTGTCTTGAACTCAATGCATTATGTATTTAACCTGTTATAGATTTATTAATAAGTAATTATAATCTAGACTGTTCATTTTTCCAGGTATGAAGAAATGATACGCAACTGTAATACAGATTTCATCAAAGGTATTCTTATAGGAAACAAATGCCACTTGGAGTGTGACAGGGAAGTATCCTCTGAAGAGGGGAAGTCATTTGCTGAACAGTTTGGCCTCCCATTTTATGAGACTAGTGCTGAGAAAAATATAAACGTCACTGAATGTTTTGAGGAACTTGTAGATTCCATACTTTCTGAATTAAAGCAGCAAAAAATATGTACATCTCTAGAGGGACTCATTCTCCCTGATAAGGCAGGTAGGGTCAGTTTACAACCACAAAGACATGACGTTGAAGCTTGTAATTGTTAAATTAAGTTTGCATTTTGGGTTTGAATTAAGTTATTCATCAAATGACTAAAAGAATAGTAATAGTGCTGTAATTGTATCAAGATAAACATGTATCAAATACATATATTTACAATGTTGACAAAATCTTTGGTAAATTTCTGCATAAAATATTGAACATTTGGTGCAAATATGGGGTGGGTCACCCTTTTTTATGCAGAAGTTTAAGGGGGGCACAAGAAAACATGCGAGTATACTGGGCCGGGTTGTTCAAAGCCCAATTAGCGTTAATCCAGGGTTAACTCCATAGGTTTTCTTATTACAGTAGTTAACCCAGGATTAGTGCTAATCGGGCTTTGAACAACTCGGCCCAGGCACGTAGTGTGGATTTATTGGCTAGTGCACATGTCAGGGACTGCATTATATATTTGGATTGGAGGGGGGGGGGGGGGGGGAGGAGGGGGTTTTGACGAATGCCAAAGGTGGGTGTATTAAGGGGGGTCTAAGGGTCCTCCCCCTATATTTTGAAATACTAGCTCCTGGTAATGTGATTTCCAGTTTTTGAAGGGTCATCGGGAGCATACAAAGGGCTACAAATCCCGAACAATTTTGATATTTCTCTGCCACTAGTATGCATGTGCATATGTGTAAAGGACGCTACGAGCCTGGTGTATAAACCAATAAAATGTTGAGCTGCATACTATTAAATTAAGAGAGGAACTATTAAAATAACTTCCAAAAATCAAGGTTTATTTCCAATATTAAACTTTGCTTTACAAATCAATCTTTTCACTCAAAACACAGTGCCATTCCCATTATCCAAACCACCCTATGGAAAACCCTTGGAAATACCTATGCTGAGACTTATTTCTCAGTTAAAGGGACACTGTCAATGGCACGCATGCACAAGTAAACTTGAAAGCACTAGGCTAGTGTTTTCAAGTTTATGACTCCAAGTTGGCGCGACATAAATCAGCTCGTAAACGTAAACAGATCTAGAATATTCCATAGTGTGTCAAAAGCACCACAAAATGATTTACCTTGAAGGTAATACTTTTAAAGTCCATTAGAGGTGAGACTGTTACTGCGCATGTCATCCATTGACAGTGTCCTTTAATGCATACAGACTTTTTTTTGTTGTTTTTTGTTGCTTGCGGATAAGGGTGGGTTAGTAAAATTTAAGCATGCAATATTCCATATTGCACCAGCCAACACACACCTCCCACCCCCTATAATAATAATAACCGGTCATTACTAATGAATTTGGTTTTTGAGATATCCAAATAACCATCCAAATAACCATGTATCTGAGCTTGTTGTGAACTTGATATTTCGGTAATCAAAAAATATATATAATTATCATTTTCTTGCACTGCTTTCAAATCATGTTTTATGCTGAACTTCTTATGCTATATAGAATTCTCACTTTAGAAAAACTGTTAATTATTATTGTGAAGATCTTAGAGCTTTAAAAAGCCTTTTCTTTCCTTTCTACAATAGGCCCTTAATAAACCAAAGGACTACAAGTTCCACCAGGTTCTTTTTTTCAATGCTTTCATATTTAGAAAACGTAATATGGCCTTGGTAAAATTACAGTTCACAGCACTCTTCAAATGGAGCTCTCGCCTTGCATAAAATGAGAAAGCAATTCAATTTTCATGCTTCTCGCCATTATTCCAACTAGGTATTTATCACTGTGCAAACTCAGCATTCATCTTACATCAATGTCTCTGTCTAGAAACAGATTCTATACTTCACACCCATACACATATTCAGGAACAAAACAAGAGAGTAAAAGAGCCAAAATTTAACAGTGTTTATTCAACTCTTTCAGCTGTATTAAAAAGCTATTTTTTAATGTGATTTATAGTCTGTCAAAAAAAACCTATTAATTTATAATTTGCATTTTTTTTTGGTCAATTCAAGAACATTAGAACTAAGCATAGTCACTTTGAATGTAACAGTCACTTGATTAAGTTGTCGTTTGAGTCCATTTAATTTGACAATGAATCACATGGTTGATCAATCCCCCACTTTGCATACCGGTGATGGACCAGTGTTTGTAATTAATTAGATGCTCAGTCATCCTAGTAAATATCAGGGCATGGTGACCAATCTGCCTTCTCTTTTGCTTCCCAGTAGCCACCCTTATAGACATGCATAGGTGTTTCTGTCAATTCATCAACAATTTGCTCAAACCAGACAGGTTTATAGCCATCTAAAACTATGCCCTCATCAAGTGCCTCAGCACTTTCTTGCTCCCGACGTCTTCTCCAAGCTCTTTGCTTGTCTTCTATTCTCAACTTCTCTTGGTTTGCTTCCTCCCACTTGCAGTCTTCCATGAGACGTTGGTCTGGTCTGTTACGTGAATCAGTTGGTGCTACACCTTGTTCAGCTTCATTCAGTGTGATGGCAAACTCTGTCATGAAGTACATTTTATCATGTTCTGGCCTGGAACCACAAACATCACATTTGTGAGACAAAATTAAACAGAACACATCAAAGAACTACCTTATTAAAGTTCTTGTCTGGTGGAGTCAGTATTAGTCAGGCACTCTGTTATTTAGCACAATTTCACAAACTTACATCAATACATTTTAAGTTAATGCCATATATCCATAACATATTAAATCAATAACTATGTAGTGTGGCCTAATAGTATTTAGTTATAAACTAAGTATTATCAAAGAAACACAAATGCAGCTAATTATGTGACTATTGTTCTTTGCACTGTTTCACTGCAGTGCTATATTCACTAGTTTGTACAAAATGATATCTTTAACAACATATAACCAATTGTTTTGTCCTCCATTTGGAGCTGTATTCACATGAACTGTGATGGGGTCTATATAGTATGCACTCTACCATAACTAATGAGGGAGCAATACTTACGGAGGAAGAATCCTCTGCCATATAGTGGTAGCAGGCAAGGTCTGGGGTGTACCCTTCTGTGGAGTGGCAGTACCTTTCCCAAGCGAAGGGGACTTGTGATAAACCACTTTAGCACAGTCAATTTTGGCATCCCAAGTACCTGATATAACATATCTTACGACCTTGGAGTTGTCTGTCACTACACCAGTTACCTATTGAAACATCAATCATTGGATGAGCTTTTTGAAATACTGGTAACCAAAATAATTAAGGTTGGAAAAAGTGTTTACAAAAAATAATAATAATAAAACAAAAAAAATAAATAAACATCAAAGAAGATGCACAAAATATACATGTAAAACATAAATTGATGGTCCACAAATCTGAGAAATCTGCCACACATGCTTACCTACCAGCTAGTGTTTGTCTTAGTTATATATATCACAATTTGTATATCTTATATCATTATTTGTAAATATTATTTCTTATATTTTGTAATTGTTTCAGTAGTGTGAGGGTCACGTGTTAGATAACTCTATGGGTTAACCATGTCACCCTCCTTAAATAAAGTTTATTGAATCATATGTTATTTTTACAAACAATAAGGTACAATACAATTTGTATGTAATATATACAATATGAGCGGGTGATCTGTATGTAATATACAACTCTCTTCATGGGCTATGATTTCTATTGTGTTTTGCCTTATGAATATTAATGAGTTTTATAATGTACTTTATTGTTTCTACAAATAACATATGATTCACTAATTATTTGTTAGGTTTCTTGATTTTTGAAACTATTATCAGCTTACCTTTCTAGGAGTATCTCTACCAAAATAATTGTAAGCATCATATTTGAGATGACAGTTTTCATTGGTCGTATGATTGACTATGTCCATTTCACCGGACTAAAATCAAACAAGATTACTGTTAGTATAATATACAGTAACATTACAGGAATACAATGACTTTCTGCTGTTTGACCTTGTATATCTGTCATTAAATAATAATAAAAAAATGGTGAAAACTAGCAGTAAACTAGTATGAGCTGCGTCATTTTTTCTGTGTTTTTAAAGAAACAGTTGTGTGTAAAAAGGTAAATTTAATAATGCAAAAACGTAGGAGAAATAACTTAAAAGAATCTTTACTAAAAAGACTCTGACGGTGGATCAACTTCCGAAACAATGAAAAGTTCTTTCTATTACTTTTTACTAAAACTGAATTAATATTAGTGACTGCTAAATACTAGAGTTCAAACACTCAAAGCATGAAAAAATACTAAACAACATAGAGCTGAATAGTGTTGATTAGATAATATTGCATAATACAGAACAATTTAGCACTATTTAATTACTTACGTTTTTCATGGTTTTAGCTAGTTTCTACTTCATTTATCTATTTATACAATATATACTCTGGCCTTTTTAACAAAACATTGTATATATATATTATAATGCAATGACCACTACCTGATCAATCCAAAGTCTTCCTACAATAATATTATGAACTGTTGTAGTAACTTTTCTCCAAGTATAGTGATTCCCTGACTTAATAAATTTCAAATGTGCTACTCCTTGGGGGATGATTTGTAGGTACTTGCCACGGAACTTGCTAGTAGCAGTAAACTCTTGCCAGAAGATCCAGTCCTTATGCTCAACATAAAGGGCTGATGCTGGTGGGTGATGGCTCACCTGTGTAGAATGAAATTTCTTTTAACATACTGGCCTGCGTTGTTTAAAGCTTGATTAGCGCTAATCCTGGATTAAAACTCTTAGAAAACCTATGTAGTGAACCCTGGATTAATGCTAATCGAGCTTTGGACAACCCGGCCCTGGCTCTTCTCAGAAGAGGTAACTAGAACTACTCATGGTTTCCACACAACAGCATGGCAGCCATTTTTGTATCCACCAACCAAGAATGCTCATAACATGGCTGCCATATTTATTAAGTGATTTTTTTCTTATTTGACTAAAAAACAATACTGAAAAGTAACCCATTTTACACTTCATGTGAGATTTTATTTCATGGAATCAAGGTTAAACATTATTTTTTGGTTTAATTAAGAATATTCTCTTCTGTGTTGCAGCCTTAAGACATTAAACAGTCGAAACTCCAACTTCCAGCGAACGAATGAATTAGTTTTATCAGTGTTTCAAATCTAATGTGTTGGACAGAAGAAAGGAGACAAAACCTGTTATAAATAAATTTACAAAAGATAACAGCTGACTCATGGATGACTAGTGGCTCATATGTCACTCAAAGGTGCCTTGTAAAAAGAAACCAACTCTAAACTATACATAAATATGGTATAATAATCTGGGCCTGGCTGTACAAAGGGTGAATACCAACATCCACCAAATAAATCCTTATCCTGCAGATAAAAACCACATATATGTGGATATGTGGATATCCATATCTCCATATGTGGATACCTTTGAACAACCAGCCCCTGATCTATAAATTAAGGGATGGCAAATATTTGTGTAGAACTATATGTACCAGTGCATTGTGTACAATCATATTTGTTTCTTTCAGTAGACAACTACAAATATAGAGCTTCAAGCCCAGCAGCAAAGACTTGTCCAGGTAAAATAATATCCAGGAAGAGTAAGCATTTCCTTACCTGCTCAGCAAGTGAACGCCATCCTTTATCACCTGAGCGATCACACTCATATGTTTCTCCTAACAACGGGTTAAATGGTTTTCCTGTTCTGTGACTAGTGGTTGAATATGACGAGACAGTGAATGCTGCAACATAGCACATTTGTTCTAGTGATGAGTGACAGGCAGTTGCTCTGTCAAGTACGTCAGAATATTCCAAGTCTTCAGTTAATCTTTGTAACATTGACAAGGGTTCATTAAAATTCACCTGAAAATGATTAATTTAAGAAAGTTTAGTCATATGACCTCTCTTCAATTATGAAAAATGAATGAATCAATCAATCTTTGATGAATAATATATACATTATATGAAAGGATGGATGGATATACAGAAAAGTAAATGAGTACTGTTAGGGGGATATTGGATATAAAAGAAAAAAATCAGTAGGGATATAGAGTTCAAAAAAAGTAATATAATAGATATAATAGATAATATATAAATGGTGGGAACTAGCGGTAAACTAGTGTGAGCTGCGTCGGTGTTTCTAAAGAAACAGTTATGTAAAAAGATAAATTTAACACCGTAAAAAAGTATGTGGACCTTTGCTTTTTTGTTTATTTTTCGTTACCATGCCTACCTTGCTCCTATTGGTCTATTCTCTTTGTTACTCTTACTATATAAACTCACACTATACCTAGTTCTCTAATATATAAATGTTTGCTAATGAAATAGTGCTAATTATTAAAAGATCTATTGTCTTGTTTTATTATAATTAGTGCATTTTTATGCAATTTAATCACTAAAAGAGATAGGCCGGTTTCTGAAATAGCATAGCACAATGCATTGTGGTCTAGTTTTGTTTTGTTTCTGGTATTGTTTGTACTTAATCTAGACCACAATGCATCATGATTTCATATTTCAAAAAAGGTCTATAAAGGCACTAACAAACATGTAGCCAATGTTTTCATTTATCAAATATTACTTACTGGCATGGGAATCTTTGTTAGTTCTTTTCCTATACAATTCTTAAGTATACTCCATAGATTAATACTTATATCAGGTCTGGGATTTATAGCCTTTCTGTAGGTTCTTGCTAATATTTTATCTGTTGAAGGCTGAAAAAACAAGAATAAATAAAGGTCATACCACAAAATCAAATTTGACTGACATGGGTTTAAGTAGGGATAACTACTGCAAGAGGGCAACAGTACAAGCATGAAAAAGTACATAACATTTATTGTTAAATAGTGCTTATATAGTGTAGATTAGACAATAAAAAACATTATACGAAAAGGATTACGAGAAGATTTATCATTTTACTAAGTGTATATTTCGGCCTTTATCCAAAGGCCATCGACTCGTAATCCTTTTCGTATTCAAATTATATGCCCAAAAGAATATATCTACAAAACATTATTTAATTACTAAATTTTTTTCATGGTTTTAGTGTTGATACCATTTTTTTACTATATATGGAAAGAGCAGGTTTTAAATAACTGTGTGATGAAATGGGGACTTATGACACAGATGACTGACACCACAGTAAACATTGAATTAAAAAAAAAAGATTACTTGTGTCTGCAATACAGCAAGCTCCTAAAATAGAAGTGTCACCATTTTTGCACGCTCTACATGTAGTTGCATACAAAATCTGATCAATATACATAAATAATACAAAACTTACATAAGACGTTATGGAACCAAACGAACCAGACGGTACAATAGTAGAGACTGATGTAACAGTGTTTTCAAGCTTATTTCCATTGTTCTCATCAATGGGTAATAATAGCTTTGCCTCGCTTTCTCTTCCTGAGCTTTCTGAGGTTGTACTTGTAGTGCTTATACTATCTTGACTCCCTCGGATAGAATCACTATCAGAATGTTCAGAAATTGCATCAAAAAACTCATGATCATCCTCTTCTTCACTATCATTAGCCACAGCACCCTGAGGATCTTGGGAAGCAGGGGGACCACCTCCCTGGCGCTGGCAAGCTCGTTCTAGGTTATTGTGCTGTCGAGCAAGAACTTCCACAGTTTCCTCTAAATTTAAACGTTGATGTCTTTCATATTGCAATGACTTGTTCCATTTCTTTTCCTGGACCTGAGCCAAATCTAAAAATTCTGCACAGGCCTGGAATAAAAAATACATTATTCATTATTTATCATATTTTAAATGTAATTTATGTATATATTGGCAGAAAGTTGGAGGACAAAATTACATTATATTGTTATTAGTAAACTATTATGTATTTTTGTACATTGAACATTGTAGCACTGAGGTATCTTAAATTGCTTAAGGTGTCTTAAATATCATAACAACAATGATGTTAAAATTTAAAGATAAGAAATTTTTTTTTGAATAATATGAAACATATAAATAATGTATCTTGTTTTGGATAATAACTAAGATAAGAATTTCCTTTTTTCCTTTTCGTTTTTTAACCAAACTCATTCAAAAAAGATTGTTAAATCAATAATCTTATCTATTTCAGGAAAATAGAAATTAAACAAAATTTTATAGAATAAAGGCATGAATATTAGTACTATTATAACATTTTACCTATTTTAAGACAATTACTGAAGCAAGTATTAGGGTAAACATGAATGTAAAATAATTGGGAAAGCTTTACATAAACCGAGATGAAAGATTCAATAATCTATAAATATTGGTTTGGGTATTAATAACACTGCAATTTCAAGCTTTTAAAACTTTTCAAAAATAAATTCTTAAAAAACATTCATAACATACTGATGTACAAAAATAATACCTGCATTTTAAGCAAATGTTTGGTTTTGAAGGTGAAATTGATATTCCTTTAAGGTGGTGTGCTTACCACTGATAATACAACATAATCACAACTAATCATGGTTGCAAAAACTTTAAATTCATAGCCCAGAAAATGAATTTATCTTGACTTCATTTGATAATACATAAACAAAAGAAATATGGTTCATTAAGAATCACATTGAATTCATTGATGGAATAAAAACATTGCACATACACTAATCATTGCATTGGATGTGATTCGGAACAGGGTAGCCTTCTCGTTGACAGCTTTCAGCTTGTTTATTAAGGCCTGTTGGTCCTCTATTTCTTGTAGTTCTCCTATTGACCGCTGCAAAGCTGCTCCATGTTTGCCTACCAAGTCATTACAAGTCTGCAGGTCTTCTAGTTTAGAGCTCAAAGGCTTAATATCCTCAAACGGCTCCTCCTCCTCTTCATCTGCAAGAGAAAAACAATGTCAAATATTATGGATTCATGAATACATAAAATATTGGACAAGGTGTTGCATGATATATCCATTGTACATTGGTTAGTTATCTTTATCCAGGTGACCACAGACCTGTGATCATTCGAAGTGTTGAAAATTTACCATTTTCAAGTGTACAAAAAATCAAGTGAATTTGGTTCACCAACTAGCTATATAATGTTCGTGAAAATCTTCAATAAAAACATTTATTAACATATAACATGAAATACTTTCACAATAAATCAAATTAGTGCTAAACTACAAATTATGCTGTAGTTTATTTATCACTAGACATCTCAATCCCATTGTCCAAGACTGCATTGGTTTGACGGGAGTAGTGTGCAGCCTCTCCGCCGAGGACCCCCGCCCTTTGATATTAGGGAGTATTATGTTAGCAAACTATTTCATGGATGTTGTCAATGCACTATTTATTACATGTAATTACATTTTTAGAATGAAATACACTGCTCATTTCATCATGGGTTTAGGAAATCAATTGAGTTTAAACTTAGTTAATGGATGAAACCTAATGGATAAATTCATGAAAGCATTTCAACTACTAATTTAAATATAGTTCACTTCTTTATATTTCTCATAGGTGTTTCCCTATAGCCCCAATTGCAAGCATGGTTAGATCTAAAATTGAATACAGGAAAGTCAACACTGTTTAAATAATAGTAATAAAACAAAGGATACATGATCTAAGGACTGCTACTTTTCATCCTCTGAAAATGTTCATTTTGTTTTACACAGACTCTAAAATACTTAAATTTGAATGAAGAGGAGTTGGGAATGTCTTTTGATTGAAAATGGAGTTAAGTTACACAGTACAGTTCAAGTATATTTCAAGACTTTGAAGACATTTAGTTTACATTCTGATATAAAAATATTCAATTTGATTTAAACCTATTTGAAGTTCTTCACTTTGAATATGCTATGTTACATGTCTTCATACCAATATTTACAGTTTCTAATTATTTTACTTTCACAAAACAATTCCTTTTTTACCAAGATTTAACCTTTGAAGCTTAAATATAAGTAATCTAAAGGACATGAGTGTTTTTGGAACTTTTTTGACAATGCATTTAACAGCTTCACAGGTCTTATGCCTTAGAAGTTGTAAAATTATCATTATCAATTCATGTAATTCATGGATCCCTATAATATCCACATGGTTTATACACTTAATACTGCTTAAAAATGTAATGTCAGGAATAGCCAAACTCATGAAGGCACTCTAACTTGCAAATAAGCTTCTTTCAGCAGCAAGAACATTGTACTTTGTAATATAAATGTTATGGACGTGTTACCTTTACTTAAACACCATGAGAATTTTCTGTTTTTCTTTGGCTCACTTCTTGCAGGACACTTGTCACTGCTGGCACTATCACTCTGAGCCTGCACCTTAACAATCTTTAAAATGAACATCACATTTCCGCAACAGAATCAATTTTGTAAATGGTATACAGCTACCATGATTCATAACCACAGATTGGAATTACTAATGTAAATCAAAGGACAATGTTTTTTTCCATTAGATACCATGTAATTATTGTGTCTCCAGATATTGTTGACATTACGGTAAACTCCAACAATGCTTGTCACTTCACATAAAAGAACTAATATTTATAGACAGTTGCAAAACAGAGCACTGGGAAAATATTGATCAAATTTGTGCTAGTATAATTCCCATTACAAACAAGATAATCCCTTTAGCTGGGAATTTACATTTTGTGGTTATTTTATGTGTTATTGCACAGGGAATTTGTATCTTGTATCAATTATGCCCGAGTTAGCAGGTACCTGCTGGAAAGTGATTCAAATAGAACAACAAATAGCATTGACAGAAATTTAACAATGAGAATCTCCAAATACACTATTAGAAACCAGAAAACAAACTCTAAGGAATAACAATTGATGAATTAAAATATGAAACTTATTTAAATCAATACTTGGTATTGTAAATACATGAGCACTGCAATCAAACTGGTATAGAACAGAGGATTTCTATATTTTCTCAAATAACAACTTTTCGAGTATTATTCTTGGATTTAAAGTGCACAAGAGTGTAACATTTTATGGCAGATATTGTCTGGGTCAGTGAATGCCAAGTGAAAGTCACCGAGCCCTGTATTAGTCCAGTGTTTGAACGTCTGGCACAACCCAAAAACATATTGACAGCACTAAACTTAACAAATCCACCATGGAATCTTGGGATTTGATGGTTAACCACTGGAATAAATAACAATTAAGAAAGCTATAAAAACACTTTTTACCTGATAGCTATCATGGAAGTCTTGACTTGAAGCTACAGTGTACTTAATTTTTAAGATGAATTATCTCCATAGTTTAAGCATCCACGGAATACAAATTAAATATTGACCACAAGGCTAAAGAAATAGATGACCCAAGAAGGCAATAACAATCTCAGAGATTACTGTATGTTGACAGAATAGCACATGCTGTGTTTATGATTGGCTGATTATGACAAGTGCCTGTCATGTCCTGTTGCTAAGTGACTGGTTCCATTGATAGCTGTCTATCCATTAGATTCCATTCATTTGAAGTAATACTTGCCAAGGTACTGGACAAATGTCAAATGTCCACATAAACACTAAACCACTAGACAGTTGAAGTTGAAATAGAGTCAAACGTATTTGCTAAAGAGTTAGGATGACCCTTGAGATACTAGAACTGTACATGTATAAATAATTGTACAAGAGATTTTTCATTGTCTTTATAAGACATTTTAGTGATTATAATAATCACTTAATATCTCTGGAGGGTGCATTTTAATTCACACCAAAGAAGGATCATTTTACCTTGATATTTTCTTGTGAGGATTATTGAGCAATAGTTATCATGTATTAGAAATAGTAAATATTATAAAAATGCAACAGCTGTGCATACAATGGTTTAATCTAATCACTGAAGTCATCAAAGAACATAGAGGGAAAAATAACAAAAATGGGAACATCTCTCCATGCAAATAGGTAAAGATTTCATTGCTGATTTAAATTCAAATGGATATACCAGTCAGTAATTTGAAAAAATGGAAAATAATAATTGTAAAAAATTAAAGAGAAGTATTGAAAGTGTTCTTGGAATACACTGATTTGAAATTTTTATAAAAGCAAATTAAATTTTATGCATGGTTGAATATCTCCATCTGCAAAACTTTCTTTTGATCCTTAATATATGAACCAAAGGTATAAGACCAGTAAAGAACAAAAGAGGAGATTTTGGTCAGCCCTTTAAAGCACCCTTGCAGTAGACAAATAGCTACAAATAATGGAAAAGTGCTGTATTTTTGCCATATTGCCTTGACAATGTTATATATTAACTTTTGAAAGAAAAGATGCATAATGTTCTAAGAATAGTGTATGACTGTGCAAATGCACGGATCACTGTGCAGACATAACACAGCACATGGTCACATAACCTCGCCTGGTAGTGACCAAAATGAAAATAATGATGATTCAAGAACACATTAATGCTATAGCACGGAAGAATCATGACGCAAAGTGCTGTGTAATACGAAATCTGCTCTAAAGCATGATTGGATGTCCTCGCAACACTTTTTTATGGCCATTGAAATAATCCCCAAGTACTTGTATTTTTGTAAAAAAATAAAACACAAAAACTAGTGGACATCATTCAGAGTGAGAGCTATAGACATTTACTGCTACATTTACAATCATAAGATAATGGTATTGCTGAACATTGTCTGTCATGTGATGTTTCCTTTCAAAATGACAAAAAAGCCTTTTAGCAACCCTAGCAACCAAGGTGAATCAGAAATAATGAACAATTACAAATCATCAGCACMAAATAATAGCACTTRAAAACAGGCAAAAGTCTTGGTMATGTAGGAACTAACACTCATCCCATTCCTTTTCATTTCTTCAATTTACACTCTCGGTCGGCACAGGTACTCCAATGTACAAATATCAAAATTTCAAGAATAAAAGATTAAGAAACTCAAACCTCGTTTTAATTTGAAGATGCATGGACTGAATTTAAGTAATAATTCAGTTTAGAACCTCAGTATTATAGTAGATAAAGTAGTTCTTTTGAGCGCTAGAAAAATAACTTCTTGATACTTCCCAGAATTTTCCACGAAAACGTGAGGGCAGATCATATACTGTATTTGAAAATACTTATAACAAATGATGCCTCGTTATTTCCATTGTAAAGTAAAAATTAGAAATACAATCAAAGTCTGCTATGTAATTATTGCTGCGAAATTTCGATTTGATTTTGGTCGAATAGTAAACTTTTAAGCTTAATTTTCCAAAATTTTTTTCTTTTCACTCTGGCTCAGGACAATTTAATATGAGGTTAAAAACGCAAGTATAAGCAATTTTCCGCTGCATTGATCACAAACCTGATTCAAGCATTTTAATAGCTTTTGCTTTTGCCAGTTCAAGTGCTGTAACCCATCGTTGTCTCTCCACTTCGCTAGATGCCCGAAGATGAAAAACTTGGGTGCCGCCATTTGAGATGACGAAACTACAAGCGTCTTCAGTGTCGATAAAAGCGCCGGCTAAATTAATAGTCCCACGACATGTATGAGCCATTTCGGCTTGGCTCCTGTGAGATAAATAAACCCCAAAATGAATGCGACAACGAATAAAGAAAATGAAATTCGCCAATTTGTACTGTCGGCCATTGATGGACTACAATTTTGATGGTTGATCACCATCGTACCTGTAATATGATAATAAGCCATTCGACAGAACAAACCATCGCCTTTGATATCCCTTTATGTAGTTAGTCCACTTAAGCAGCCATCCCCTGAAATGATCAGGGCAAACTCGGCCGTCAGGCATTCTGTTATCGTGTTTTTTCTTTACATCTTTTACTTGAACTGGCAGATCAATAATCGTGAATCCTTCGTACTCTGTGGCCATAATCACGTGACAATACGACCGTGAGGATTTTTCAGGGACCTGGACAGGTATATCCAAAACAAGACACTTCAAATTTGCCAAGCAAATTGCTCTTATAAATGCATAAAAGAATGAAGGCAAAGGCAAAATTTTTCTTGATTGGAAAAGTTTCGCTTTCCATTGTCGGCTTAGTGTTTATGTAGCCAACCGCTGATCTGACCACGCGTCCGCTTTTCGCGTTTGCGCAACTTTCTTCGGTCGATAAAGTTTAGAATAGAGTGCTTTTTACATGTAATAATATGTTGCAAGACAAAGCACGTTTTTGTCCCGCACTAGAAATTGAACACGCTCAAACTACTTTATCTTAAGAATTACATGTTGAACAAAGCAGAGAAATAATTAACTAAAGCGTTTACATAAATACTAAACGTGGTTTATCGAGTCGATCGAGGTGCGCGTCTTCAGATTCTTCGACTCAACAAGTGTGCTTTGTGTAGTTAAAATTATTACCATTTATCGATATTAGCTATACACAGACTAACGTTAAAATGGACAGTGTACCGTAAGATAGTAATAACTGAACAAATCGCTCCCCCAAACATTCACAACGAGACTAGTTTACTAGAGTTCCGTTTCATCTCAGCCAAAATGGTACCATCTCTTCGCCTATGTTAAGTCAGTTTGTTCCAATGTAAAGAAATTCAAGCAGAAATTCAAACATTTTATCATCGATTATAATGATATTATAATTATAATTATAATTATATTATGAAGTACATAAAACCTACTTACTTTGTTCTGGCTCAGTCTGAATTTCTACATCGATAAGCCATGGACACAGAGCTTGGCACAACAGAGCAGTTAGCTCGTCATTCATCATCTAAAATGGCAACACTAGAATTTTCTAAATTTTACAAAAATCACACGACATTTGACTACAAAATGTTATTTGTTCAAATGACATAGTTGAGCTAGAAATTTCCTTATAAAAAAGTTAGACGTCCACCTCTTGTGTTATGATACGCATAAAGTATAAATCCTTGGAATACATTAGCGTGGGTACCTGTCAATCATTAACTTGGCAAAGCTGCATTTCCGGAAAAGGACGTTTTTAAATTTCACCACTTCCGGTTCACGCAAAAGTTCCCTGCGCAAATAATTACTGATTATATGATAAAAAATAAACTTCCACCTATAATATTAGGTTTTCCGCTTCTACTGATTTTCGAGATGATATTTGTAAGAAGTTTTGATAGCATAGTGAGATCCGGAGATTTCTTGGCAACCTTTCATTTGCTCTTGTGTTTCAACGAAAAGAAAAAATATCATGACGACAGATTGATTTTTCATTTTTCATTTTCTTTTATTGTCTAGAGTACTTCACACATCTTTGGGTTTCCTGTGGTTAGCGTTCACGATCGAAAAGTGGAATCACTCTGGAATCATTCTAATATTTCCCATTTACTGCGTTTATGTACCTTGCAGCCATATGCTTTTGTTATGGCTTAGGTCGTTATTCATTTATTCACAAATTTTTTACCATTCATCTTGTTGACCTGCACAACTAAATTAGGCTGCCCTTGATCAATTTGCGAATACCATTTTTGCTGGTAAAATATAAAAGGACATTCGCACTATTCTTATGCCATCACGTTTTGCGCGCACTCCGACAAATAATTTGCCAAAAGTATTCTTCATTGTATGCCCTCTAATTTAATACTCGACATCCCTCGACATCGTAAATTTTGATGTATTGCTCTCAATTCATTCGAAAGGCTGCATTTTCACCCGAAAAGGCGTGACCTTGAACCGCAATTGACCTTAAACTGGCGGATATGAAATCGCGACGACGATATTTCATTATGTAGGTTTTAAATTGTCCGTTTCGCCCAATTCGCTCTCAACTTCTTCTAGCAATGCTTTAGCGTTTGGGTTTCTTTCAGCGGCCTTTCGGTACCAGTCCCTTGCTTTGTGTAGATCCTTATTCAGTCCAAGTCCGTTGTAATACATGTTACCCAAGTTGATCTAAATATCAAAGAAATAAAAAAGTAAGCAAACTAAAGAATACAAACAAAAAAAAAAAAAAAAAAAAAAAAAAAGAGAGAGAGAGAAAAAAATAATAAAAAAGAAAGAAAAAATATATGATAGATGGCTGATAGATGGAAAAATGATCAGGGTTCAAAATAGCAGACAATTTCAGCGTCCTTGCCGGCGATTTTTTCGTCATAAAAAGAATATAGAAATAAACAGACTTATGAATTGCTGTCATTAATTTAAAAGCTTAACTGAATTTTACCCTAGAACGCTCAAAACGCTGTCAGTTGGTGGCTAATGAAAGAGAAAAATATTGAAGTACATACTTGTTATTTCTTTTTGCTTTGTTCTCAAATGGATGGTTTTTTTTTTCTCTAACTTTTTCACAGTCTCTGAGAAACAGTGCCAAGAGAAAGCAGAGCAATTTTTTTATTAAAATCATCTTATAAGTATCCTGCAAAAAGTAGCCACACCCCAAAAGCCTTCAAATCTCACGGCAATTTTTCAAAATTATTTTGAGCCCTGATGATTGAGATGAATCAGTGATGAAACATTGAACACTTAGTAAACTGTAGAGCGGTCGACGTCAAGAAGTAAAAGCTGCAAAAAAAGGTTTACGAACCTGTGCAAGTTCAAAGCCCYGCTCTGCCGAAGCTTGAAAAGATTCAGCAGCCTTCGACATATCTAACGTTACACCTTTACCAGCGAAGTAATGAACACCAACATTATACTGAGCAGCGGGATGTCCTTGAAGATCAAAGTTCTTATCAGTACATATACTAGCTGGTAGCTGTGCCTCTAGAATCGTTGTTCGATTCTAGATTAGTCCAGTCCTGACCCGCTTAAGCACTCGCTCTGTTTCCCTGCGTGTCCTGGATCGGGTCGAAAAAGACGCTAGGACAGGACTAGATTCTAGATTGGCTTTGACGTTTTTAGATCACAACAGAACACAAGTCCGTAGACTTCTTTGTAAAACGAAAGACCTTGGACCCTGCTGCATGTGGAGCACCAGCAGATGTACTCTAATATAAACTTATATACCTTTATTTGCCGCCAGTTGATGATATTCAAACGATTTCTCCTGACTTTCATTGACACCATCACCATGCCCGTAACAATATGCCAGGGCCATAATACAACCTATATCCCCTGAAAAACCATAATTATAAACATTATATATAATTAAGATGTCAGAAAGGGGTTGGTAAGGTGTCAGGTGTAGTTGCTAAGGTGTCAGTGAGTGGATTTTAACGTGTCAGTAAGTGGTTGGTAAGGTGTCAGTAAGTGGTGGGTAAGGTATCAGTAAGTGGTGGGTAAGGTGTCAGTAAGTGGTTGATAAGGTGTCAGTAAGTGGTTGATAAGGTGTCAGTAAGTGGTTGATAAGGTGTCAGTAAGTGATTGGTAAGGTGTCAGTGAGTGGTTGGTAAGGTGTCAGTAAGTGGTTGGTAAGGTGTCAGTGAGTGGATTTTAAGGTGTCAGTAAGTGGTTGGTAAGGTGTCAGTAAGTGGTTGGTGAGCTGTCAGTAAGTGATTGGTAAGGTGTCAGTGAGTGGTGGGTAAGGTATCAGTAAGTGGTTGGTAAGGTGTCAGTAAATGGTTGTTAAGGTGTCAGTAAGTGGTTGGTAAGCTGTCAGTAAGTGGTTGTAAGGTATCAGTAAGTGGTTGGCAAGGTGTCAGTAAATGATTGTTAAGGTGTCAGTAAGTGGTTGATAAGGTGTCAATAAGTGGTTGTAAGGTATCAGTAAGTGGTTGGTAAGGTGTCAGTAAGTGGTTGGTAAGGTGTCAGTAAGTGGTTGGTAAGGTGTCA